ATATATGTTCACTATCTTGATTACAGTCATGTTTTCACAGGTGTGTTAAAACTCATGAAACTGTAAACTTTAAATATGTGCAGTTTGTTGTATGTAAGTTATACCACAAGAAAACTATTGAGGGAGGGGGGGAATCAGCCGTTCTCCTTGGCTGGCCTTCCCCTGACAATGGGGAGATGGCACTACGGGTCTTCTTCTCTCACCAGCATTTAACATGACATCGTACGGACATTCCTCATCACCTCCGCCCTTCTAATCTGGCCCACCCTCTCTGCTCTGGATCACTACCATAGCCTCCTTGTCCTGCTTCCAGCGCTGCCTCCCTTCTTCCCCTCGAAACCACGACGGCTCCTATCTCACGCCATGCCCTGAACGAGCCTAGGCCCTTGTGTTACAGTATTACTTCTGTAACAGCTTCTGCCCACTCTGCACTCCTAGTCTTTCCTCTCTGTCTTCACTGCTGTTACTCCCCCTCTTCTCTCACTCAATTCGATCCGAGCTTGCTGCTTCTGAAATATCTCAACATCATGTCCCGTCGTCGCTGGGCCTCCCGTGTTCCCTCTACGCCCCAAGGCTGGTCTCCTCCCGCTCACTCCCTCCTTCCAGTCTTAGCTCAAACATGACCTTCAAAAGGAAGCCTACTTTCCTATTTAAAACTGTACACCTGTGCATCCCCTTTGTGTACAACCTTCCTGTTTGTTTGTTTGCTGTCTCTCCTTGCTAAAACATAAGCTCTGTGAGGGCAGGGATTTTTGTTCGTGGCTCTATGCTCAGCATCTAGAAGAGCACTTGGCAAAAAGTGGCTGTTTACCGTTCAATGCATATATAATTCCATGGGGATTAAATGTGACTTAGACCACCAAACAGGTTTTACTGAACAAAGTAAGTGACTTCACAAATAACAGGGGCACCTGGGTGGCTCAGTCGGTTGGGCATCCAACTGCTGATTTCGGTGCAGGTCATGATCTCGGGGCTATGAGGTGGAGCCCCACGTCAGTCGGGCTCCACGCTCAGTGCAGAGTCTGCTTCAGTTTCTCTCTCTCCCTCTCCCTGCACCCCTCCCCCCTTCGCTTCCTAAAATAAATAAATAAATCTTAAAAAAAAAAATAACAGCACATGGCATGATAAAATGAAACAAAGTCAAATGAGCTTTGAGACCTCAGACAGGGATGCCGGGGAGACGTAGGAAAACATTAAATATCACAGCATTTTTAAAAATTATGAATGCTCCCACCTCCTAGCTGCGTTACGATCTAACCTTTCATGCTTTCAAAGATGAGCTAAGGAATATGAAGCTACTCACTTCAAAGTCAAAGTAAGGTATGGTAATGAATTTCTATCCTTAAATGAATTCAACTTTTCCTGAGTCAAAGACATGAAATGGGAGTCCTAGAATTCCAAGAAAATTATTACAAAGTCCCTGCTTTCTTATCACATACTCAGCAGGAATCATGGATTGGCCTCTCTCCCTTTTCCTCCTTTGCCCTTCCTAGGAAATCTGGAAAATAATATCAAGAATCTGCAATATTTGGCACTAGTTAAAATTCTTAAGAATTGTCTTTCCTATAAAGACAATGTTGCAGAAAATGTTTCCTTCCAAATGTACGAAAAACAGTAACCAATAATTATTTACCTGATCCTTTTGAAGGTATTCCGGTCAGAGAACAAAGTGTAGGACTACATTAAGCAATGAGTTGTTAATGCCTTCCCTGATAAAATTTGTGCATGTATATGTACATATGTTCGGCATTTTGGGGGGGTTTTTTGTTTTTAACATCTAGGAGTAACAAGCATTTGCCAGCAAAGCTAGCATAGGAAAATCCAATACTCTGACAATTTACACACGATTCCCTGAAGCCATTCCTGATTAAATGTTGTACCATTTCAATCTTCTTACTGGGGATATCTATTAACTAGCACTGCTTGTGAAGCCAATGAATTTAGTATATAATTACACGTATCCTACACAAATTACTTCTCAACGACCTCTACTCACAGAAATAAACCAAAGAGGGATGACTGGCTCATTATAAATCTACAGAAAGATTTCACTGGGAAAAGGTATTGAGAGCAAAGTCCTGAAGGATCTTAAGCTTCACCTAAATTTAATTTCAGCAGGAAGTAATCTCTTCTGTTCTGAACTCTCAATGCATTTTACATGAACTCTTTGTGGCACGTAACACTTTTCTGTTGCTAGGGAACTATGTGACCTTGGACAAGTCACTGCCATTGTCCCCGCCTGAGTGTTTTCATCTGTAAAATGAGATGCTTGAACAAGGTGATTTCAAGTCTCTTCCAGATCTCACATTTCCTGATGGCATAATTATAATCACAGAAGCACACTTTACCCATCCTTTCAAGGCAAGCATGGGAATTTGATTTACCTCTGGAGCCTCCCTACTGTCTAGAACAGCCAACTGAATTTCCCTTAGCAACTGCTCAGCGAACGCATTCAGGGACTCTGAAAACAGTACCGTCATCTGAAATTCCCATTCTCTTCGCCACCTTCAACCCTTCCTAAGCCCGACCGTGACTGTGACCCAAATGGCTCTCTTCGAGGCCACCCTTACCATACCTCTGGCAGAATTACAGGGAGGCCAGAGGAGTAAACATACCACTTGTCACCTGGAAGAAATGCACCCACCCAACAGTTTCAAGGCACATGCTTTGTAAACCATCTGACTCAACATCACACACACCACTGGAGGCCTAGAGAGAGGTTCCATTTCATAGAATAAGCTTATCTAATGCATTCCAATCACCTGAGAGCATGTGTAGGAAGCTACAAGCAGATGTTGTGGGGGGCAGAGAAGCAAGGTGGCAGGCAGAAGAGGAGAGAATACAAGACCTGCTAAGGAGAAGAAGGAGAACATTCCCTTCACCTTTCCAGAGGGGGACATTTTAAAAACCCAAATCCCAGAGGGAACTATACTGCAAGAATAGGAAACATCTACTCATAGCTGTTAGGACTCTCAAGCCAGAATGTCTGGGTTCAAATCCCTCCTCTGCTGATTAGTAGCTGTATATCCACGGGAAAGTTAATCAACCCTCTGGGCCTCGGTGTTCTCAACTGTAAAATGAGAATAGCAGCACTTCACTGATAGGGCTGTTATAAAAATAAAACGGGTTAATACATGTAAAATGCTTATACCAACACCCAGCACATAGTAGGTGCTCAGTAAATGAGAGCTCCCAGCATTGCAGTTATTATTATTAGATAGAGTTCTGGGATTCTCTGGGATTTGTTCTAAGAGAACAAAGGAATCACGCTGCTCTTACAGATTCTAATTCTGCAGTTCCCTCCTCCAGATGACAGTTGCAAGGATAAACCTTTACGTATTTATGTATACTTGTATACTCTATCAGTCTCAACTACTGCCAACCACAGAAACCATTCATTCAAAATTTAAATTCCTTTCTGAACGATATTCTAGGTTTCAAAAAAGACTTGATCGCCCACGCTCTGAGAATACAAAAGGACTATTAAACTGTAGGGCTGAGAGGAGGTGGGAGCACAAAGACATCTTTGTAGCAGTTTGAGCTATCACATACCACGGCCTCAACGGCCTCAGCTTCAGAGAGTTGCCTCCTTCAGAAGGAAACTAACAAACTGGATCCATTGTTCCTTAACATCAGAGTTCTTGGATGTGATCGTTCTTAAATCCCTGGCAACGCCTTAGTAAAGATCAGAGGATCTCAGTTCTTTCCATTAGGACAGCATCAAATCCCCTCCAAGCAATTTTCTTAGGTCAGCATCATTATTTGAGATGCCAGGGAAACTGGTGAAATTTCACCGCTAAGCTAGTTCCCTGTTCCGGGCTGAAGACGTGAGGTAAAGCTAGAAGATATTTTCGCTGTCCTGACGAAATGTCCAAGATGGGGAAATGGGAAGAAATTTAAAGAGAATCATGAGAAATTCCTTTTTAAAATCCCTTTTATAAAGCAGTCATTTTAGTAAACAAAAAGCATACAAAGCAATAATGACAACCAATTAAAAGAAGTTTTCCGAAGGCACTGACCCTTAAAAGTTCCAGTTCGTTCCCTGATGGGATGTCTAGAACTCTGGTTTTCCAAGCATCTTTCAATAAACAGGTAGAAGAGACAAACAGACAAAAGAGCTAATACTGTGTCTTGTATTCCTTTGTCAAATGATCAGGCAAAGAACAAAGTCAGCAATGGTCACACTGTCCTGGATGTGTTCAACTGTCTTTTTATAACCCTGGGCTGAAAAACAATGGACACCCTAAACACACAGAAACTGAGCAACAGAAGAAGTAAAGTTCCAGGAGGCCACAAAAAGGTAGCCTATGATCTCTGTTCCAGAGGGGCCAGATTTCAGAAACTTCGAGAACAAGTTCGCCCACAGCACCCCTTTTAGGTCTAAAACTGCAGAGCTGATGGGGGTGGCTGGAGAGTTTCCTAAAAACAGAGGACTGTCTGCTTACAGAACCCACTTCAACGGTTTCTGGCAAGGAAGGACAGTAGTCAAATCTGTGTGAAGCCAAGAACAAGTCCATATTTGACAAATCACTCCCATCAAGACAGTGATGTCAGCCACAATAGAGTTTTTTGGCAAGACTGAAAATGTGCACCTGTGGGAACCTGGAAAGATCTGACAGATTTCTGTTTTCCCAGCCCTTTATCAGCACGTTAATTATAGCAACTGTACGGTGTACGCCGAGCTTTACAGAAAGGCAGCTGGCTGTGTGAAACCAAGATGCTGCTCTCCTGGGCATGAGAAGGACACGCCGCCAGGAGTGCTCACACACGGAAATGTTCGGTCCGAGTACAGTGTAACGGTGAGCTAGACGGCACCAGCAGACGAGAAAGGGCTACACTCTGCAGATACCTGGGTGTGGCAAACCTAAGAAGGAGTCATGACACCCATGTACGGACACACACACACACACACACACGCTGGCGCACACGCAAGTCTCCCCAGCCGCCACAGCTCAGGTCACGTGACACCCAGGGCTGCGTCTTCACGGAGCAGACTGTACCTTCACAGCTATAACTGTACACGGCCACCGCCGACCGTTCCACCAGATTTTCATCGTGATGCCAGCTCACGGCCATTTTCCCCATGCCAAAATAAGGCTCCTCCTTCAGGTACGGCATTTTCTGGGGATCCATGAAATTCAACAGAGTGACGTTGTATGCGGCTCTGTTCTTAATGTCCAGCTCGTCTTGCCCGTCAAAGGACCCCAGCCCGACCCTGGGGAAATCTGGACCTATACACACCGGCACGGCATCGATATTAGCTTTCTCTTTGCAAGCGAGTTCCTCCAAAGCCTGGCTGGTCTCTGTCTGCAGGTAGTCGTTGAGCTTGAGGAAGGTCTGACAGGCAGCAGCAATACCCGCCTCATCGTACTTCGGACTAGAGCCCTTCACCGGCCAGGGCACCGTAAAGAGCCTGGTGTTGAGGTACTTGTAGGTGCAGCCTGGGTTGCCGATGAGGATGCGAGAGACTGGGGTGAGCAAATCCTTGCCTTGGATCCTGACCAGGTCCCGGAAGAAGCAGCCATGCTTGTGCAGCGTGAGGAAGGCTTCTTGCACCTCCTTATGGAGCTCCTCGGGTACGCTGCCGGCTTCGCGGAGAATCAGTTTCGGGTATTTCAGCTGCCACTGAAACAAAACCAAAGCAAAAACATGTGTTCATGGAGAGCTAGGAGTTTCTCATTTCCAGAACTGTGATGCTTGGTCAGCGTTCGGAGGGGGCAAAAGAAACAACCGTCAGGTAGCATTTCTGAACAGGATCCGTATCTCTCCAGCCTCACAAAGAAGGCTACGTGAAACGAATGTCATTGACTGTCCAAGTCAAGATTTTCAAGTCCCAGCTCAAATCATTCATCTTTACTAGAAACAAAATAATCATCTGTGCTCTGATCTGCCAGGCTCCCTCTACAGCCACTTCTCCCTGCCCTCAATCTGTCTTCCAACCTTTGGCCCTCCAGGCAACACAATTTTATTAATTAACTGCTTACTACCTATTTATTAAGTGCTTATAAGTGCCGTGTATTATTCTAAATGATTTAGACACGTTGACTCCTTGACAGCTCACAGCTTTATGTGACAGTACTGTTACTGTCTCCGGTTTCTAAAGGAGATTCTGGAAGCAGAGACATTTATGTAAACACTTGCCCACAGTCACATAGCTGATACCCAGTGGAGCTGGGATTTGAAGCCTCTGAGCTCGAGTCTGGTTCCAAGGCAGGAGGTCTGAACCACAAGATTGCCCTGCCTCCCAATAAATGACAAACTGGTGTCTGCTCTAATACTTTCACTGAAGGAGAAATCACTTCTCGTTGGGAATTAGATACCAAGTCCCATGAACACTAGAGCCAGGAGAATTTTGCTTACAACGATAATACTAGTGCCCAGAATGTATTCAGCAAATGTTGAATAAAGGAGTGAATAAACGAGGTGTTCTACTGTGATTGAGAAAGTTGTGATCATTCTACTGGTGTCACTGGAGGAGAATACTTTAAGATGATCCCTTCCTCTAATATGGAAACACATGGATTTATTGTCACAGTGGAGGACTTAATTACCTATTCAGCCACCACTTCTGGCTCCTAAGACTTATGAATGGGTGATAAGCCAGAGTTCCCTGATTCTGTACAATGAAATGGACTTTTTTTTTTTTAACCAAAGCACAGGATTTTACATTTACCCCTGTAAAGTTTAATCTGATTGGTACCTTCTCAGTACTGTACTGCCCACCATTTTTGAGACACATTCCTTCTATATCTTCATCAATGATTACCATTTATATGATAAACAGGGCAAGACCATTTATTCCTTCATACCTTTTTTTCATTCAATATATGTCTGCAGAGCACCTACCAAACACTAGACAGAGATAAGGTTCCTGCCCTCACAGAGCTTTCTACCAGATCAGGTAATAAATAAGGAAAAGCGATCTCAAATTGCATTAAGTACTAGGACAGAAACAAACCAGTGGGAAATCTGTCATAGATGAGGGAAGACTCTCTACGGAGTTGGCATTTAAGCTGAGATCTTCAGGAAAAGGAGGTGCCAGCCACGTGACAAGCTGGGGAGAGAGCTTCCCGGAGAAGGAACCAAAAACCACAAAGGTGCTGAGGAGGGAAACCAGACTGCTCTAGAGACAAAAAGAAGTCTAGTTTTACTAGAGGAAAAGAGCCAAAGGCAGAGAGACATGCGGTGGAGTTGAAGGGAAGGCAGGGGCTGGACCACACAGAGCCTGGGAGGTCAAAGTAGGGAATCAGGATTTGACTCAAAGTGTGCTAGAGGACCCAAGGGAAGGAGAGTAATTTGATTTACATTTTATAAAAATCACTCTTAGTTACAATATCGGGCACAGATTGGAAAGAGGCAAATGTGAAAGTGGAAATCCTGTTAGGTGCTATTACAACCATCCAGGAGAAAAAAGATGATGGTCTAAATGTGAGACAGAGATAAATGGACAGGTAAACTACATACTTTATAGGCAGAGCAAAAGGCAGTGCTTATCGACTAGATGTGAGGGGTAAAGAAAGGAAAGCAGGTCCAGAGGACCCTTAGATTTCTGGATTTAATAAATGAATAAACAGCTTACCATTTTTTAAAAAGATTTATCTATCTATTTGAGAGAGAGAATGCGTGCACGCTCAAGCAGGAGGGGCAGAGGGAGAGTGTCCGAAGCAGACTCTGTGCTTAGTATGGAGCCCAAGATCATGACCTGAGCCGAAACCAAGAGCTGGACACTTAACCAACTGTACCACCCAGGCACCCCTCCTTTTTATTTTAAATAAAAAAGACTGGGACAAAACAGGAATGCTAGGTGGAAGAATCAGAAGGAAGGAGGAGCTCCCTTTTGGAGCTGTAGCCATTAAGACACCTACGAAATCTTCATGAGAAGTGGTGTGGGGAGGTGGGGTGGTCACCTGCACAGACACACCTGGAAATCCAGGTGGCAGCTGTCAGCACACCTGTGGTTTTTAAAGGCCTGGAAATGAATGAGCCCTCCCAGGGAAATAGCATGAACACAGAAGGAGGCCCACGGCCATTTCCTGAGTCTCAGAGGAAAGGAGCAAAAGAGACCTTTGAGGGAGAAAACTAGGAGAGAGTATTAATGCAGAAGTGAGAAGACAGGAGCACTTCAAGGATGGAGTAGGCGACCACTCCCGGGAGGCCAAGTGAGATGAGGAGAGACATGACCCCCGAGATGTGGCAGCGTGGAGGTCATTGATGACCATGACAAGAGCGATTTCAGCAGAGTGGTGGGGATGAGAGTCAGAGGAGAGTCAGCTGGGGATGGAATGACAGAGCAGCAGTGGAGGTGCCGTGCTTAAATGTCCATCTCAGAGGTCACACTCTGAAGGGGAACAGAAAAACACAGTTGTTGATGAAGGGCAATACTGGATCGGGGGACCATCTTCAGCACTGAAAGACAGGGGGGACACACCAGAGCTTGCCAGGATACTCCTGGGAAGAGGCTGATGCTGCAGGACATGGGGTGATAAACTACAGGAGAAAAATCCTTGAGTGGCCAGAGCAGGAGTCTCCCAATGGAAGTATGTGAATGACTGGTGGGGTTTGTATGGCAATCCGCCAGAGTTGGTGGGGGGAAGCTGGCAGAACCGTATTGTTTTTAATCTAAAAAAAAAAAAAAAAAAATCAAGCTTTACTAAAATATGTGTACATGTATGTGTGTGATATATAAACACATATACATGCATTTAATATGAGCTCTATTATAAAATAGACACAGTATACAAGTAATACTTACGTCTATTTAATGAATAACTATCCGTAGTGTGCTGGAGTCACTTTACATCCCTTTGGGAAAGCCTACTGTGTACATCGCCTCCCAACTGCACATTCAGTGACATGTTGGTAGCCTGAAATTGGCCGTGGAGAAGTATTTACACCACAGAAATCAGGAAACACTAAAAATCGAGGCTGGTTTATTTTTTCCCAGACAGCCCATTCTTAAACACTTAGTAGGACCCCACTGTATATGCTTAAAATTTGTTACCGATAGGAGTATATGATCAAAAAACATTTGGATCGGAAGAAAGATACTTCCTGTATCGGAATAAACTGGAAGGAGAAAGAAGATCTAAATTCAGAGAGGACTATAAACTTGATAACAGGCAAATGACTAAGTTTCAGGGAGTTTTTAGAGGGAGAGAGAGGGGAGCACTTCAATTTTTCACAGTGAAAATGCAAAACAAATCACTAGTTAAGAATGTGTGCTGGTCACGTGGGCTGCTTGCCAGATAGTTCTGGACTCCTCTGCCATCACCCAGCTTTTTGGACCCAATGTTGAATTATGCTTCCTAGCCCCCTCATGTTGGGTGAAACATGTGACTGTTTGTGTCCAGAGAAATGACGGCTGTCACTTCTAGCCTGGAGCACTTCAGGGAGTACCACAACCTCCAGAACGCTCTTTTTTGGCATAGTCACCAGCTAGTGGCTACGTGGATCCCTGAGTTACTACTTTCATGGGTAGTGATTTTCTGCCAACCCACAAATGACATGTAGAATGAGTAAGACATATTGCTGGGGGAAGCCACTGAGATTTGAGGGTTGTTTGTTACTACAGCATTATCTAGCCCATTCTGCCTGATCCAGAATGCAGGAAATAGAAGGTAAGCAGGAAGTCTATGTAGGCAGAAGAAAAATGAAGTCGTCAAGCCTGCATATGGAAAAATGACCTTACTAGGAAAGCGTGGTAGGATTGCCCTGCTTCTCAGAGTGCCTATCTGAGGTGTGTGATCATAAATTTAAAGTGACAGAAAGCAGAGTTATGTGGCACACCACTATGAATGGCCGGTGAGACTGTCAGGGATGCATTTAGGATTTACAGTTTCTATACTCGTTTATCCCATTTGAAAAATAAAAAGAGAAATATCATACTTCCTGTTTATGCAGCTCATGAAGACAGCAATCTAGTAAGCAACGATGGAATATTCTGGAGCCATGAGCAGTAACTCTAATTCTATCACTAAACTGGTTCTCTGAGCAAGTCCCAGAGGCCTCAGTATACTTGAAGCACATCTAACAGCAGCGGTCAAGAAGGAAATTTCTCAACAATTCTGGGTTCTTTAATCCTCAGTATAAAATATTAACGAAAAGTAAGATAATTCCCAAGAACTTTATTTGGGAACACACTCCCTCTGGGACTGAAAGAGGAGGAAGACTGGAGATAATACACACACACACACACACACACACACACACACACACACACACACACACAATCTACACACAGCTTGCGGCCATCACTCAATATACAGTCGGGCTGGAGACTGCAGAAGATGGATTTAACACAGGGGAATAATAACTCTAAGGACCTGGGAAATTCACATAACCATATGAGTATCACATGTAAATACCTTGACTTTAAAAACAGCATTCTAAAAATAAGACAGTAATAATGACATGGGAAAGTATCCCACCCCCCACCCCCCGGATCTTTTTTTCACTGATCTCTCATGTCCTTTCCCCTCCGACCACATTGGCCTCTTTTCCTACAGGCCTCAAGAGGCCGGCATTCAACACCTCCCCTTCAGGGCAGGCTCTTCCTCCCAAATCTGTACCTGCCAGGCCCTTCTCATCCTGCAGGCCACTTTCTCCAAGAATCCTTCCCTGAACTT